AATGAGAATAATAAACTACATGAATAACAATGCAAGGAAATTAATAACAATTAATATATTTAATCATTATTCAAATGGAACGGATGGGGAAAAGATAGATTGTTAATAACCGGGCGTCCGGATCCGAGCCAACGCTCCCGATTCGTAGATCGCGCCAATCGAACGCTCTGATTGGTCAAGGTTTCTTGTTAAGAAATCCTCAACCACGCCTCGGACTTTTTAAAATTACGTCAGGAACCTCCCATTTCAATATCTTAAACTAGTTTTGGGACATCCTGAAGGGAAAGATAATAGGAATTCTTGTAAAATAGCGGAGTTGCTGTCCCTCACAATTTTAACAAAGCTTTTAATCACAAGCCCTTTTCTTAAACTTCTGAGGGCAAACAACTACCAGTTTTCCAAGGGTTGCTCTATCCTCCCTCGACTACCCCAATTTACACCACTCTCTTAACTACACCCAACTTTTTCTTCTCGCAGCACTACATCGACTTGAACAGCCCATACACGGACATGAACACATCGACACTAAAAGACGGACGCAGTGATTATCTGCAAATGCTCTCAGCACCCGACCACGCGGCTCTCTCCTCTCCAACTTACACGAACGTCCCAACATCAAACGCACCCGACTCCGCCTACTTGTGCATGAGCCCAAGTAGCCAAAAGGATGAATCAGGAATATTCAGTCCCGGACACGTGGGCACTCACTTCGAGTTCCCTGCGCCTACGTCCGATTCCGAGGACGCAGTGGAAATGTCGCCGATGCTGAAGAAGAGCGACGACGATCCTTACCTGAAGCCTATCAACGTTCACGAACGCCGGGCGGAATTCGTCCGACAGATGAAGGCGATGAAGCACCAATCCGATGAGCAGAGGCCTGTCAGCAGCGATTCCGGATACGCGAACACTCCCAGAAACCTACGTCTGATCGACCTGAACGAGAAGGCCGCTAAGGATGACGAGAAATCAGGTAATGGACGTTCGTCGCCTAAGAAGGATTTCGCGATAATCAGCACGCAGGATAATTACGTAAACATGCCGAGGCAGAAGAGCGATTTGAAACAGGACATGCCGGACGGATTTAGTAACCCTAGCTACGTGATGACGACGAATCTTGAAAGGGTCTGAACCGGTGTAGAGGTTAGGATTCCACTATGGCTGACAGAATGTTTCTGTTTCAGGCGCAGTTGTAACGCGTGAACATACGTGAACATAAGTGGAATTTAAACGAAACTGGAACGATTCATTGTTGTACTAATTTACCTGTTCCAGACTGTGGAAATGTTCTGTGTGAATATGAGGGTGTATGTGTAACAACGAACTGGTTACTTAATTCTGTGTCGCGTGTACCTTGGATTTTGAACATGTTTTTTATATGTTGCTCGAAGTTGGGTGTGCCATGACAAAAGTTTAGGATCGTGAACGCCGTCAATGTACACGGTGATTCATTTTTTTTTAATGAGCTTACGACGTCTTTTTCGTAGGATTAATTCATTGAGATTATACAATTAAACAACTGGAGTGAACAGATATAGTGNTAAAATAAAAAGTATGCAAATTAGGTGCATTGGGTGTCTTAAACTTTTGGCAGAGACTTTATGGCTCATACAACCTTGACTAATCTTCATGCTGTTTACTTATTGTTAGAAGTAGCTTCCTTTAATTCTGCAATTATTTTAACTATAATTCTGCAATTATTTTAACTATAATTCTGCAATTATTTTAATTATAACTTTGAGAATGTGCATTGCTTCGGAACGATCGATCACGCGGAACAGATGCAAGTTATTACTGACACTGTGCATGGGGTTGTGGTGTTAACGACGGTCTCGTTTCTGTCTTCTGTCCACACGACAGGATAAAATACGTGGCATTGTCGTTTTCTCGCAGTCTTAGCGAAAATTCGGCCACCGAACAGACCTCCACTATGGATTCCCAAGGAGTCAACATGTCGCCGGATGGTTACCTAAGCAATAATTCCAGCCAGCCGGAGTGGAGGTCTAATTATCGTGGCGATTACAAGGATTATAACTTGAAACCTATTTGTACTCAGGATTTATTATCATGGGCGTTTCAAGTCGCACGTGGGATGGAGTATCTCAGTCAAAGAAAGGTGAACTTTCAAGCAAAAGATATC